CCCGCAACGCGGTTAGCCGTTGTGGCTGGGACCGCGGATTGTCTCGGGTTTGTGGATTCTACATCCCTGCGGTTTGCTGTTTTCAATCTTCCCTGTTACCTGCCCTGTCTTGAACTGCGGGGAGTAACAGTGTAACCTACGTTGCTAGCTACCATGACAAAGACCAAAGCCGGCGGGAGTACCATTGTTGAGGACAAAACAAAAATAGTTCTACAAGCAGTTGTTACAACAAGAAAATAGCTTCAAGTGCTTTGTCCAAATACTGGTGGATTCGACTAATAAAAGAATGGACAACCTGACCAGAGAGGTCCAGGACCTAAAGAACAGTTTGCAGTTCTCCCAGGGTCAGCTCGATGAGTTGAAACAGGAGAACGGCAAGATTACATCAATCTGTAAGTCATTGAGAGAGGACATCAGTTCTGTCTGTGAATCCATCATAACAATGACGGATAAATCTCGAGGGACAATCAAGGCGTAACAACATGGTTGTGGACGGAATTGCAGAATCTCCACATGAGACCTGGACGGAGTCTGAGGACAAAGTGAGGGAAATTATCTCTGAGAAATTGAAGATGGACCACAGGAAGTTTGAGGTGGAGCGCACCCACAGGACTGGAAAACCCACCACCGGCCCATGTGACAGTCCCAGGTCGATAGTGGTCAAGTTCCTAAGGTTCAAGGACAAGTTAGCTGTTCTGAAAAGAGACAACAACTTGAGAGGAATGTATATCTTTCTCAATGAGGACTATCCTGAAGCTGTGCGCCAGAAGAGGAAATAACTTATCCCAGCCATGAAAGCTGCCAGAGCGCGTTGTGACATTTCTTACATCCGCTATTACAGGCTCATCATCCACCCTCCCTCCCAGAAACCTGGAAGGAATGAGAGCGCCAAGCCTATGGGTTCGTAGCTTCAACCCCGCAGCGCGCGCGCACACACACACACACACACACACACACACACACACACCAATTGATTAGTGGACTGCTGAATGTATATATATTTTTCTCTTTCTTTGTTTGCTCTTTCCACTATTATGTCTATCGCTGATAAGCTACCCAGGAAAGGGCTGAAACTAGCCCATATTAATATATAGCCTTAGAAATAAGGTTCAAGAAATCAATAACTTGATAACATCAGATACCATTCTTATATTAGCCATTTCTAAGACTCACTTAGATAATTAAGTTGATGATACAGCAGTAGCAATACAAGAATATAACATCTATAGAAGAGACAGAAATGCTTATGGGAGTGGTGTTGCTGTATATATTCAGAGCCATATCCCTGTAATGCTTAGAGAAGATCTTAAGTCAAGTGTAATTGAAGTGTTGTGGTTGCAGGTTCACTTGCCACATCTAAAGCCTTTTCTTTTGGGGTGTTGCTATAGGCCACCAAGTGCAAACAGTCAGTATTTAAACAATATGTGTGAAATGCTTGATAGTGTATGTGATGTAAACAGAAAGGTCTACTTTCTTGGGTACCTGAATCTTGACTGGTTTTCATCAAGCTGTCCGCTCAAGAGGAAGCTTCTTACTGTAACCAGTGCCTGTAATCTGGTTCAGGTTATTAATCAACCTACCAGGGTGTTTACAAAAACTACAGGAACAAGATCATCCACATGTATCGATCACAGTTTTACTAATACTGTAGAACTTTGTTCTAAAGCTGTATCCGTACCCATTGGATGCAGTGATCACAATATAGTGGCTATATCCAGGAAAGCCAAAGTTCCAACAGCTGGGCCTAAAATAGTGTATAAGAGATCATACAAAAGATTTTGCTGTGACTCATATGTGGATGATGGAAAAAAAATAATGTTGGTCTGATGTGATTTAATAACCATATACGCATCAGCAACCACAGCTAATGAAGTCACTGAAACCCTTAACAAAGAGTTGCAGTCTGTTTTGGAATAGGTGGCCACAAATAAACTGGTCCTGAACATCTCTAAAACTAAGAGCATTGTATTTGGGACAAATCCTTCCCTATGTTCTAGACCTCAGCTGAATCTGGTAATGAATGGTGTGGCTGTTGAACAAGTTGAGGAGACTAAATTACACAGCTCTGACACACACACTTACCCCACCAGACATGCCACCAGGGGTCTTTTCACAGTCTCCAAATCCAGAACAAATTCAAGAAAGCGTACAGTATTATATAGAGCTATTATTGCATGGAACGCTGTTCAATCTCATATTGCTCAAATAAACAGCAAACCTGGTTTCAAAAAACAGATAAAGCAACACCTCACAGCACAACGCTTCTCCCCTATTTGACCTAGGGATAGTTAGCCTACCTTTCAATAAATACACTATGTGTGCCATAATAAAAATATGTAGTTCTGTCCTTGAGCTGTTCTTGTCTATGAATGTTCTGTATTATGTCATGTTTTGTGTGGACCCCAGGAAGAATAGCTGCTGCTTTTGCAACAGCTAATGGGGATCCTAATAAAATACCAAAACACTGCAGACATTTTTGGTACCCTTTCCCAATCCTGTCTCGGAGCTCTACGGACAATTCCTTCGACCTCATGGCTTGGTTTTTGCTCTGACATGCACTGTAAACTGTGAGCCCTTATATAGACAGGTGTGTGTCTTTCAAAATCATGTCCAATCAATTGCATTTACCACATGTGGACTCCAATCAAGTTGTAGAAACATCTCAAGGATGATCAATGGAAACAGGATGCACCTGGGTCTGAATACTTATGTAAATAAGGTATTTCTGTTTTTAATGTTTAAAAAATGTGCAACATTTTCTAAACTTGTTTTCGCTTTGTCATTATGGTCTGTGAACAGTTCTAATTTAATCAATTTTAGAATAAGTTGTAACGTAACAAAATGTGGAAAAGGTTGAATGCACTCTATATACACATGCGTGTGTGTGTGTGTACACACACACACCCACACACAGTACCAGTCAAAAGTTTGGACACACGTACTCATTCTAGGGTTTTTCTTTATTTCTACTATTTTCTACATGATAAAATAATAGTGACGACATCAAAACTATGAAATAACACACATGGAATCATGTAGGAACCAAAAAACTGTTAAACAAATGAAAATATATTTGAGATTCTTCAAAGTAGCCACCCTTTGACTTGATGACAGCTTTACACACTCTTGGCATTCTCTCAACCAGCTTCAGCTGGAATGCTTTTCCAACAGTCTTGAAGGAGTTCCCACATATGCTGAGCACTTGTTGGCTGCTTTTCCTTCACTCTGCGGCCCAACTCATCCCAAACCATCTCAATTGGGTTGAGTTTGGGTGATTGTGGAGGCCAGGTCATCTGATGCAGCACTCAATCACTCTCCTTCTTAGTCAAATAGCCCTTACACAGCCTGGAGGTGTGTTTTGGGTCATTGTCCTGTTGAAAAACAAATGATAGTCCCACTAAGCGCAAACCAGATGGGATGGTGTATTGCTGCAGAATGCTGTGGTAGGCATGCTGGTTAAGTGTGCCTTGAATTCTAAATAAATCACTGATAGTGTCACCAGCAAATCACTCCCACACCATCACACCTCCTCCTCAATGCTTCATGGTGGGAACATTTACATTTAAGTCATTTAGCAGACGCTCTTATCCAGAGCGACTTACAAATTGGAACCACACATGCAGAGATCTCACCTACTCTGCATCTCACAAAGACACGGCGGTTGGAACCAAAAATCTCAAATCTGGACTCATCAGACCAAAGGATAGATTTTCACCGGTCTAATGTCCATTGCTCATATTTCTTGGCCCAAGCAAGTCTCTTCTTCTTATTGGTGTCCTTTAGTAGTGGTTCTTTGCAGCAATTCGACCAAGAAGGCCTGATTCACGCTGTCTCCTCTGAACAGTTGATTTTGATATGGGTATTATGACACCTCCACTGTAGGGCTCTATGCCTATCCAAATGCAAAGACCAGAAGAAATGAAAACTTAGGCCATCATTGGAGCAACTGGAATAAAAATAACCAATACAATTTACAGATCAGAAATGAAATACTTGGTATTCACATGCATAAACATCCAGAATGAAACTGAGAATGTCTTCAAAACATGAGAGAAAAAATATCTACAGTGATAAAATCTCTTGACACAGTAGATCAATAACTTTCTTTTAGAATGTGTTAGTAAACACCAAACAAAGTACTGAATGTCTCTGCTTCGTGCCTAAATGCGCTGTACCTCTGGTGAACACACAGCGGAACGCAGAGAGAGGAGAGAGTCCGGTGATGATGGAGCAACCCGGCGATTATGCCAGCGATGATCTTGTAGATCTGAATGGACACGGCACCAAGTGTGACCGGTGTAGATTGCCTCTACGTTGCATTTTGAGCGGCGAACAGATGACCAGAGGATCGGTCTGTTTTTATTTTCTGATAATTACAGGAAAAACGTCCATAAACATGCTGTGCTGCCCTTATATACCAACTCCTCTCTTCCACATGGGTACAGAAGACGGGGCCCAATATAAGTCTCATTTCACGTAACAGTACAATATAATGCAAATGTAAAGTATGACATTTTAAATATAACCTATAGGCCAAGGCTAGCCAACATTCTCAATGACAGCCATGTTTTAAATACAGTATGTGACATGCGCTTGCGAACATAGCTGACAGTAAAATATCGTCAAAATAGTTCAACAAACAAAAACACATGACATACCTGATAATGCCAGAGAGAACTTCCAAATGCTGTGCTGTCCTTATACACCAACTCCACTGCAAAGTACACATTCACAGCAAAAGGGGAAATGAATAGCCATGCTAGCCCAATTAAGACATATAGCCTACAGTAGAAGTAGAGTAGCTAGCTAACGTGTACAGTAGGGACACATTACAAGATAAGTTAATAAATGACTGAAATGCATACATATCATAATAATGGTGGGAGACCATTTTATAATGCACTGTCAGTGACCATATACACTCCTTTTTTATAAGTGTCTTAACATAGGATTGATTATGATTTTGATGGGACAATTTTACAGTAACCTACCTCTTCCACATGGGTACAATAGACAGGGATGAGGTAAGGGGGGCAGGTGATGTTTATATGGGGGAATAAAAAAAGGAAGTGTGCGACATTAAAGGGCACGTACAACAACATAAGGAATGTACACCAATATCAGGCATGGAACTATTCAGATTTTGTGTAATTATGCAACATGAAATTTGATACTTGTTACATAACCACACTTGAAAGTGATCTGGCAAACATTCGCATTAATACATTTTTACATTTTTGTCATTTAGCAGACGCTCTTATCCAGAGCGACTTACAACAGCAATTAGGGTTAAGTGTCTTGCTCAAGGGCACATCGACAGATTTTTCACCTAGTCGGCTCGGGGATTAGAACCAGTGTCCTTTCGGTTACTGGCACAACGCTCTTAACCACTAAGCTACCTGCCGCCCCAATACTAGTTCCATCATTCAAAGATGGGAGGGTAAACCAACAGTCAAACGTTAACTGCCATAACGCATCTTGCCTTAACCATGCCTCTGTTGTCTTTGTGTGTGTGTGTGTGTTCTAGGAGGCGATTGAGAGGAAGGAGAAGAGGGCAGAAAGGTTCCACTTCCGTGCAGAGGCCAACCTAGCCCAGATGAATGTGGCGTTAGACAGAGACACCATGAAGAAAGGTACATACACACACAGTGCTGGATAGAGACAAGATGGAGAAAGGTACAGACTTACCCGGCTTTTTATCACTGTCACACCTATGCACACACTGAATACACTCTCCCTTTCTCAGCCATCCCTAACTTGCGTCTGGAGGCGTTGCACGTGGCGGGTGTGGATGATATGAGCACCCAGGATGTGTTTTGCTACTTTAAGGAGCACCCTCCAGCACACATTGAGTGGATCGACGACACCTCCTGTGAGTAACACACACAGCGGCAACTGACAATAAATGGCCTGTTTTAACTTGTCATTCAATATTGTTTCCTAGGTAACGTGGTGTGGCTGGATGATATCACTTCCACCCGGGCTCTGATCAACATCAGCCACATGCCTGACCCAGAGGTGGTTACCAAAGAGACAGACGGCACCAAAGAACCTGGTGATCCCACCCAGGAGAGTAAGGGTGAGTGTGCAGGTACTGTTAGAAGTGTGTGCGCTTATCCATGTACTGTCCAGTGGGTGTGTCCTTGTTCCAATGTTCAGTCTTTGTTTTATGATCAGATATAGTGGATAATAAATACTGTGTTGATGGTCAGAACTGCGATGTGGCGCTTGTGTGGTCAGTGTGTGTTGTCAGTCGTATGAGGCATGTACTTGATGTGTTTTGTCACTTAACTTTGCTTGCCATTCTGTCTCAGCTCGCAGACAACGAGGTTCGGATGATGATGATGACGAGGAAGGAGAGGTGGAGGAAAAAGAGATGGTGAAAGAGAAGAACAGTGAGGAGAGTGAGGGAAAAGCCAGTGAGGGAGAGACGGCGAGGAAAACAGAACCTGAGACCACCCAGGTAAAACTGTATGCGAGACCGTGTGTGTGGTAAACGTTGCATATTAGTAACCTGTGTTTATGTGGAAACGCTGCATGTTATTTACCTGTGTGTGTCAGGTGATCCTGCTATCCCAGACAGAGAGTGAGTCACTGCTCCGGAACGACCTACGTCCAGCCACCAAACCCTTCAAGGGCAACAGACTCTTCCTGAGGTTTGCCACTCACGGTGAGACACACACCACTAGACACACACCACTAGACACACACACACACACACACACACACACACAACTAGACACACACACAACTAGACACACACACACACAACTAGACACACACACACACAACTAGACACACACACAGACACACACACACACATCACTAGACACACACACACACACCACTAGACACACACACACACCACTAGACACACACACACACACCACTAGACACACACACACACACCACTAGACACACACACACACAACACACACACACACACACCACTAGACAACACACACAACACACTAGACCACACACACACACACACACTAGACACACACACACACACACTAGACACACACAAACACACACACAACACACACAACACCACACACAACACACACAATCACACACAAGACACACACCACACAACTAGACACACACAAAAAACAAACTATACACACACACACACACAACACACAAAAGACACACACACACCACAACACACACACACACACACAATAGACACACACACACACAACTAGACACACACACACCACACACACACACACACGACACAAAAACACACACACACCACTAGACACACACACACACACACACAGCACACACACACACACACAGACACACACACCAAACTAGACACACAACACACACACACACAGACACACACAACTAGACACACACACACACAGACACACACAACTAGACACACAGACACACACACACACACACAACTAGACACACACAAACACACAACTAGACCACACACACACAACTAGACACACACACATTTAGCAACTCTCATAACAAGTCACAAGTATTAGTTTCTTCACAATTTGAATATGTATTTGACGTCTGAAGGAGTGGGAAGATTAGGATTCTGGCACAATGTTTCTCTCTTTTTCATTCAGATGATAAGAAGGAGCTGGGTGCTGCGAGGAAGAGTAGATTTTACATGAAGTACGGCAACCCCAACTACGGAGGCATGAGGGGCATCCTCAGCAACTCCTGGTAACCACACACACACACACACCTACTTGCTTCCCTACACACCTACTTTCTTCCCTACAACACTCATATATATATATATATATGTATATGTATTTCTGTTGTATTTTTTTGACTTTGTTTTGTTTTACCCCATATGTAACTCTGTGTTGTTGTTTTTATCGCACTGCTTTGCTTTATCTTGGCCAGGTCGCAGTTGTAAATGAGAACTTGTTCTCAACTGGTTTACCTGGTTAAATAAAGGTGAAATAAAAATAAATTTAAAAAACACTCATTCATTCATACATGCTGGATAGGCACACCAGTTGACACTGTGGTGCGTCTCCATGGCGATACAGGGGGACAGTGGTGTGCTAAACCATCATGGCAGCCGCCACCAGACACAGTCAGACCCTCATCACCACCGTGGCTGACTGGAACTGCTACACTGTTGTACATTGTCCTCCTTTGGTCTTTTTTTTTGCTCACTATTTCCTGACACTTTCTTTCTTTCACTTTCTTTGTCTGCACCTTCCCTCTATCAGAAAAAAACAAGGTCGTATATTACTACTAACATCTATGTTAATCATCCGCTGCTTGAACACAAAAGAAGTCATTCTGCTCCCCCATCTTTCTTTCACTTTTCTCTCACCCTTTTATTCCCCCCTCTCACTCCTTTTCTCTACTTCTCTCATCTGTTTCTTTTTCAGTTTCTTTTCCCTTTTGACCCCCTTCCTGCTATCAGAAAAAAGACATGCTGGTTAATCTAAAATCCCCGAATTCATAACTGGACCTCGAAGCCAGTTCCACTGCTTTTTTAATTATTCCCCTCTAATCAGCGACTGATTTAAAAACCTGGGACACCAGGTGTGTTCAATTAATTATCAGGTAGAACAGAAAACCAGCAGTACTCCGGACCTTGTAGGGTAAGATTTGAATACCCCTGGTCTAGAAGGTTAAGGGGATATGGTTAGGATAGAAGTTAAAGGTAGAGGGTGGGTGCTAATGTCTTTCTATGTCACCTTCTGCAGGAAGAAACGGTATCACACACGCAGAATTGTGAGCAAGAGCAAGAAACCCCTCATAGGGGACAGCATGGGACAGACACCGCCCTACACACACAGACACTCTGGTAAGTACACACACAGACGCACACCTTCCTACACACATACCACCCTACACACATACAGTGCTCTACAAACACCAACCCTGGGAAGAACACACTCACGCATCACCCTAAATATACTTACAGTGGGGAGAACAAGTATTTGATACACTGCCGATTTTGCAGGTTTTCATACTTACAAAGCATGTAGAGGTCTGTAATTTTTATCATAGGTACACTTCAACTGTGAGAGACGGAATCAAAAATCCAGAAAATCACATTGTATGATTTTAAAGTAATTAATTTGCAATTTCTGATGTATCAAATACTTATGTCATGCAATAAAATGCAAATTAATTACTTAAAAATCATACAATGTGATTTTCTGGATTTTTGTTTTAGATTCCGTCTCTCACAGTTGAAGTGTACCTATGATAAAAATTACAGACCTCTACATGCTTTGTAAGTAGGAAAACCCACTGTAGGTGACAAGGCACACACAAACGTTTACAGACGAGCCCCAACTGCCATGTGCTAATGTTCATTTACATATCCCCTGTGTTAATCTGACTTCCTCCCCCTCTCTTTCCTCCATCCTCTCCCTCCTTTTTCTGCTCTCCCCCCCTCTCTCCAGCTGACCTGGTCAACCTGCCAGAAGAACCAATAGAGGAAGAAGAAGAGGATGAGGAAGAGGGGGAAGAGGACATGGACTCAGACGACAGGGTAGTGGAGTACAAGGAGAAGAGGGGGAGGGCGGGGGGCCCAGGGGTGGCCCTGCGGAGTCGTTTGGGCAGGCCCTCGTCTTCCCCCTCTGTCTCGTCAGACTCAGACGAGATGGACTATGACCTGGAGCTCAAGATGATCTCAACCCCCTCCCCCAAGAAGAGCATGAAGATGACCATGTACGCAGACGAGGTCGAGACCAACCTCAAGACTATACGGTCAGTGGGTGTGGTGGACGAGAGTGTGTGCTGGGTGACGTGACCATGTATTCTGACAAGGCCATGACCAACCTCAGAAGCCTACAGTGTGTGTCTGTGTCTTTTGTGTGTGCGTGTGCAGAATGTGGACCTTTTTAATGTAGGTAAATGTAGCAAATTATTAGTTGGTGTTTTCCCTGTATGTGTTCTTCAGACACTCTGCTGTTCGGAGTGACAGCGGCTCGGGGGGTAGTGGCATCCGGAACAGGATTGGTGGAGAAGGAAGTGGAGGATCGGTGGTCAAGACCAAAAGCATTGCGGTGGAGAAAGTGACGGACGTGAGGCAGCTGTTGGAGGAGAAGAGACGGAGCCTATCCCAGCACAAACAGCGCTACCCTGTGGCCAGTAGTGGAACGACAGGTCAGTTGTCCTCCACTTTACAAAGGCAAAATCAATGTAATCTTGTTCCCTGACACTGGGACACTGTGTATGTAGAGTATGTTGTATTTAACCTGGTTCTGTTCTGGGTTGTGTGTGTAGATGTGAGGCAGCGGTTAGGGAAGAGGCCGTGCTCTCCTGAGAGACGACACTCCGCCTCCCGAGACTCATCCCCTCCCCGAGAGCCAATCACAGATGTGCACAGCCGACTGGGCGTTGTCAAACAAGACGCCCACGGCCTTTACCCTGATTCGTCCAAAGACAGGAAATCAAGTAAGGAAGAAAAACGCACATGCCCATCTACTGCTATTAGTCAATAATGCAGTAGGTTTGTTAAAAAGACACTGAAAGAAAGTGCTTTAATATTGAACCCCCCCCACTCTTTCTCAAGGTCGTCTGTGGAGCAGGCTCGGCCCCTCCTCCCGCAAGGGCGACGTTCCCAAGCGGAAGCCTTCCAGTCGCGGAGTGGGGTCGGGATCAGCCAGCTCCAGGTTGAGGGGACGGGGGCGGGGAGGAGAAGAAGACGTTGAGGAGGAGAACGACTCTGCACTGCAGAAGGTGTGGGGGGCCTTGGTCAAACAGAAGGAACAGCAGACCCACAAGATGAAGAAGAGTCGGCTTGACAACCTGCCCTCGCTACAGATAGAGATCAGCCGGGAGAGCAGCAACGGATCTGACTCAGACTCCTGAGAGACGGAGGGAGGGGGAAGGAGAGAGGGAGAGAGAGCGGTATTGCAACGAGGTGGCAGAGAATGAGTAGGGGAAAGAGACGTGTTGATAGAAACTGAGTAGGGGAAGAGAGGTGTGAGTGAAATGGAGAATGATTACAAATGGTGGGGGACGGTTTAGATCAGTGTGTGGATTTGGTCATGCCTTCATCTAGAGCAGAAAGGTGACCATCTCCACCCCCTGCCCTCCTCTTGAGTTATCTCTGTCTCTCTCTGTCTATCTCTGTAGGACTGTTTTGATCCTTATGGGACCCCGCCGCTGTGGCCTGGTCCATCGTACAAACACAAAAGAGAAGAATCTTTATGAAAATAAACGAGAAAAAAAAAACTGGACAGAATTGTCTGGTGTGGAGAGAAGTTATATTTGTCAGGACAGGAGGCACATTTTGTTGTTGTTGTATCACATGATCTCTGCAGCCCATGGGACTGGTGTTCTGATCAAACGTGTTCCTGTGACAACATTTTACCCTCTGATAGCCTACCTACACGTCAAGTCATGTCGAATATTTAAAGAGCAATATAAATGTCTCTGTTAGCCCCTGTGATGTCAACTACAGAAGAACTGTGACAGTGGATAAGATGCTGATACTGAGCTCTCTCCCTCTGTCTCTCTGTGTTTGGAATCAGACACTGTATCATACAGTAGATGGTATCTATGTGTGAGTGACTTTGAACAACAAATATTTGGTTTGTGGCATTTTCTTTCCTTCCAAAGGCTTGGCCCATAGAGAAGACTAAACCAGATGAATCGATTCTCTACTGAAAGGTTTTGTACTGTCTGACTGTTGGTATTATGTGCAAATGGCCAATGTTGATATTATGCTTTTCAAGGCGGAAAATCCTTCATTGCTGTGCAAAGTCCTTCAAAGGCCCATAGTACACTACTTCTGACCAGAGCCCTATGTAGGGAATAGGGTGCCATTTGGGACGCAACCTTACATTCCCAGACGGAAAACAAATGTATTTCATTAAGGCCTAAGCAGAAATGAAAATGTTATATTTTTTAAACAACTGTCTGCTTGTCTTGTTACCATTACCAACTCATTATTTGACCTGGTAAATTGACTGAGAATACAATCAACTAGATGGTAATTTTCCATGAAGAAAAATTGTGACTAGCTTTAGCTCTTTGAAAGTATTTTTTGTGGCAGTGGATAGGATAGCCTGAACATGTTGGTTTGGTGTCTAGCTTGAACAGTTCAAGAGTTAAGGTTAGAGTTATTTTATGCTAATGTTGGTATGTATGTAACACAAATATAAACGCAACATGTAAAGTGTTGGTCCCATGTTTCATGAGGTGAAATAAAAGATCCCAGAAATTGTCCAAATGCACAAAAAGCTTATTTCTCTCAAATGTTGTGCACAAATTTGTTTACATCCCTGTTAGTGAGCATTTCTCCTTTGCCACGACAATCAATCCACCTGACAGGTGTTGCATATCAAGAACCTGATTAAACGGCATGATCATTACACAGGTGCACCTTGGGCTGAGGATGATAAAAGGCCACTCTAAAATGTGAAGTTTTCTCACAGCACAATGCCACAGATGTCTCAAGTTTTGAGGCAGCATGCAATTGGCATACTGACTGCAGGAATGTCCACCAGAGCTGTTACCAGATAATTGAATGTTCATTTCTCTACCATAAGCCACCTCCAAGGTCGTTTTAGAGCATTTAGCATTACGTCCAACCGGCCTCTCATCCGCAGACCGTGTAACCGCGCCAGCCCATGACCTCCACATCTGGCTTCTTCACCTGCGGGATTGTCTGAGTCCAGCCACCCGGACATCTGATGAAACTGTGGGTTTGCACAACCGAAGAATTTCTGCACAAACTGTCAGAAACCGTCTCGGAACCTCATCTGCGTGCTCGTCATCCTCAGCAGGGTCTGAACCTGACTGCAATTTGGCGTCGTAACCGACTTCAGTGGGCAAATGCTAAACTTCGTTGGCCACTGGCACGCTGGAGAAGTGTGCTCTTCACGGATGAATCCCGGTTTCAACTGTACCGGGCAGATGGCGTCGTGTGGGCGAGCGGTTTGCTGATGTCAACGTTGTGAACAGAGTGTCCCGTGGCGGTGGGGTTATGGTATGGGCAGACAAGCTATGGACAATGAACACGACTGTATTTAATCAATGGCAATTTGAATGCACAGAGATGCCGTGATGATATCCTGAGGCCCATTGTGCCATTCATCCGCCGCCATAACCTCATGTTTCGGCATGATAATGCATGGCCCCATGGCGCTAGGATCTGTACACAATTCCTGGAAGCTGAAAGTTTCCTAGTTCTTCCATGGCCTGCATACTCACCAGACATGTCACCCATTGAGCATGTTTGAGATGCTCTGGATCGACGTGTACGAAAGCGTTCCAGTTCCCGCCAATATCCAGCAACTTCGCACAGCCATTGAAGAGGAGTGGGACAACATTCCACAGACCAACAGCCTGATCAACTCTATGCGAAGGAGATGTCACGCTGCATGACGCAAATGGTGGTCACACCAGATACTGACTGGTTTTCTGATCCACGCAACTACCTTTTTTTTAGCGGTATCTGTGACCAACAGATTCATATCTGTATTCCAGGTCATGTGAAATACATAGATTAGAGCCTAATGAATTTTTCAATTGACTGATTTCTTTCTATGAACTGTAACTCAGTAAAATCTTTGAAATTGTTGCATGTTGAGTTTATTTTTGTTCAGTGTAGTTATAGTTGATAAAGATTCTAAGGAATTTGAAGTTATGATAGCCTGAATGTTTTAAAGTTGGTCTTGTAGCTTAATTGGCCAAGGAGCAGGACTTTTTTGAACAGCTACATCTGTATTCCTATGGTTCTCATTCAAACCCATGTTAATTTATGCTAATTTAAAATGGTTATAGTTCAAAAAGTGTATATATATATAGAATAAAAAATATTTTGACAATCAATGTAAGTAGGTTCAGTCTGAACATCTCAGTGTTGGTTTGGAGTTAATAGCTTAAACCAGGGGTGTCAAACTCATTTTAGCTCAGGGGCCACATGGAGGAAAATATATTCCCAAGTGGGCCGGACCGGAAAAATCATGGTATATATAACTTAAAAACAACAACTTCAGATTGTTTTCTTTGTTTTAATACGATCAACATACAACATAAAGCTGGAGCCTGAGGACAGTGTGTCCAAAATAGTACAAGCACAACATCACTATTAATCATAAAACATGTCAAGTTTATTTGAAAATTCTAAAGAAAAAGAACACACAAACACACAATGCCTCAGTGATTAACAGAACTGTTTCACAGAACTATATCAGGGTGTCATTTCTCAGGCAGAAATGTAGATAAAAATAATGAAATCCTGTTCCCCAAACAAGTGCAAGAACCACAGAGTCAAGAATAGGTTAAATATGCAAATAAAATAAAAACAATTAAAAACAATAGCACATCAACATAAAAACATATAAACATAAAGCTGGAGCCTGAGGACAGTGTCCAAAAGCACAACATCACTATTAATCATAAAACACCTCAAGTTATTTGAAAGTTCTGAGGACAAAGAACACACAAACACACAATGCCTCAGTGATTAACAGAGCTGTTTCACAGATCACAGAACTATATCAGGGTGTCATTTCTCAGGCAGAAATGTAGATAAAAATAATGAAATCCTGTTCCCCAAACAAGTGCAAGAACCACAGAGTCAAGAATAGGTTAAATATACAAATAAAATAAAATCAATTAAAAACAATAGCACATCAACATAAAAACATATAAACATAAAGCTGGAGCCTGAGGACAGTGTCCAAAAGCACAACATCACTATTAATCATAAAACACCTCAAGTTATTTGAAAGTTCTGAGGACAAAGAACACACAAACACACAATGCCTCAGTGATTCACAGAAGTATATCACAGATCACAGAACTATATCAGGGTGTCATTTCTCAGGCAGAAATATAGATAAAAATAATGAAATCCTGTTCCCCAAACAAGTGCAAGAACCACAGAGTCAAGAATTGGTTAAATATACAAATAAAATAAAATCAATTAAAAACAATAGCACATCAACATAAAAACATATAAACATAAAGCTGGAGCCTGAGGACAGTGTCCAAAAGCACAACATCACTATTAATCATAAAACACCAAGTTATTTGAAAGTTCTGAGGACAAAGAACACACAAACACACAATGCCTCAGTGATTCACAGAAGTATATCACAGATCACAGAACTATATCAGGGTGTCATTTCTCAGGCAGAAATGTAGATAAAAATAATGAAATCCTGTTCCCCAAACAAGTGCAAGAACCACAGAGTCAAGAATAGGTTAAATATACAAATAAAATAAAATCAATTAAAAACAATAGCACATCAACATAAAAACATATAAACATAAATCTGAAAGCGTTGCTCAAACTCCCGTAACAGTCCCGTTATTTTATCTTTGAACCGCTTCATGTCTGCCACATGTTGGGTCGCGCACACATTTTTCAGACAGGGGAAGTGAGCTTCATCACCACCGGCAAGTTGCGTCTCCCACAATGACAGTTTCAACTTGAAAGAACGTATGCTGTCATAATACTGCGTGACAACTTTGTTGCGCCCTTGCAGCTGTTTGTTCAAGTTATTCAGGTGCTCTGTAACATCCACCATAAATGCAAGGTCCTGCATCCATTCTGCGGAATGAAATTCTAACACTGGTTTGCCCTTTTCTTCCATGAACTGTTCAATTTCTTCTCGTAAATCAAAGAAACGCCTCAGCACAGCACCTCGGCTTAACCATCTTACCTCAGTGTGGTATGGCAGGCCATAGATGTGGTCTTTCTCTCTGAGAAGGCTGTCAAACTGACGGTGATTCAGGCTTCTGGATCGGATGAAATTAACAGTTTGGATGACCACCTTCATGACGTTATCCATCTTTAATGACTTGCAACACAAAGCCTCCTGGTGCAAAATACAGTGAAAAGTCAAAAAATCACGTCCTCCATTTGCAGATTGCACTTTCTCTCTGAACTTTGTCACAACGCCTGCTTTTTTCCCGATCATTGAGGGCGCACCATCTGTAGCCAGGCTGACAGCGCGGGACCAGTCCACTCCGACCCTGTCCAGCGCGCCGACGAGTGCGGTAAAAATATCAGCTGCTGTCGTTGTATCTGTCATCGGCACCAACTCCACGAACTCCTCGGTGACGGTCAATGTGTCATCAACTCCGCGGATGAAAATGGCCAGTTGTGCAACATCTGTAATGTCCGTGCTTTCATCAATTGCAACCGAAAACGCAATAAATGACTTTACTTTTTGCTTCAACTGGCTGTCCAAATCCACTGAAATATCAGAAATCCTGTCTGCAACTGTGTTTCTTGTCAGGCTGATATTTGCAAAAGCCTGCCGCTTTTCAGGGCACACAATCTCCGCTGCCTTCATCATGCATGTTTTTACAAATTCACCCTCACTAAATGGTTTTGAAGCCACTGCGATTTCATTAGCAATGAGGTAGCTAGCTTTCACTGCAGCGTCACTGATGTCTCGGCTGTGAGTAAACACAGACTGCTGTTTCTTCAGACCCGCCAACAGTTCATTCACCTTCTCTCATCTCCGCTGTCCTTGAAAGTTGTCATATTTGTCGGCATGAAGACTCACATAGTGGCGACGAAGGTTATATTCTTTCAGCACTGCAACATGCTCTGAACACACCAAACATACAGCTTTCCCATTCAATTCAGTGAATAAATAGGATGACCATTTTTCTTGGAACACTCTGCGTCCACTTTTCTCTTTTTTGACAGAGACATATTGGGGCAATGAGGGTGCCAAAGCACATAATGTTAAAAGTAGAAGCCGTAATAAATATCGCGGGCAAAACAAAGTAGCTCATTGGCTGCACGTGCTTGACCTACTTGCTCTGCCCCGGTATAAACAGTTTGCTTGCTTAACACAATTGCTATTGCGCCATCCAGTGGACGCAATTGG